TGCTGAATCCGCTGGTGCTGCTGAATGCGCTCCATCTACTGAAGGTACTGCTTCTGAATCCGGTGCTCAATCTACTGGTGCTCCGAATCTGGTCCAGCTGCCTCTGCTGCTGAATCCACTGGTGCTGAATCCACTGCTGCTGAATTCCACTGGTGCTTCTGAATCCGGTGCCCCAATCTACTGAAGGTACTGCTTCTCAATCCGGGTCCCAGCTGCCTCTGGTGCTGAATCCACTGGTGCTTCTGAATCCGGTGCTCAATCTGCTGGTGCTTCCGAATCTGGTCCAGCTGCCTCTGGTGCTGAATCCACTGGTGCTTATGAATCCGCTCCATCTACTGAAGGTACTGCTTCTGAATCCGGTGCCCAATCTACTGAAGGTACTGCTTCTCAATCCGGTCCAGCTGCCTCTGGTGCTGAATCCACTGGTGCTTCTGAATCCGGTGCCCAATCTACTGAAGGTACTGCTTCTCAATCCGGTGCTCAATCTACTGGTGCTTCCGAATCTGGTCCAGCTGCCTCTGGTGCTGAATCTACTGGTGCTTCTGAATCCGCTCCATCTACTGAAGGTACTGCTTCTCAATCTGGTCCAGCTGCCTCTGGTGCTGAATCCACTGGTGCTTCTGAATCTGGTCCAGCTGCCTCTGGTGCTGAATCCACTGGTGCTTCTGAATCCGGTGCCCAATCTACTGAAGGTACTGCTTCTGAATCCGGTGCTCAATCTACTGGTGCTTCCGAATCTGGTCCAGCTGCCTCTGGTGCTGAATCCACTGGTGCTTCTGAATCCGCTCCATCTACTGAAGGTACTGCTTCTGAATCCGGTGCTCAATCTACTGGTGCTTCCGAATCTGGTCCAGCTGCCTCTGGTGCTGAATCCACTGGTGCTTCTGAATCTGCTCCATCTACTGAAGGTACTGCTTCTGAATCCGGTGCTCAATCTACTGGTGCTTCCGAATCTGGTCCAGCTGCCTCTGGTGCTGAATCTACTGGTGCTTCTGAATCCGGTGCCCAATCTACTGAAGGTACTGCTTCTCAATCTGGTCCAGCTGCCTCTGGTGCTGAATCCACTGGTGCTTCTGAATCCGGTGCTCAATCTACTGGTGCTTCCGAATCTGGTCCAGCTGCCTCTGGTGCTGAATCTACTGGTGCTTCTGAATCCGGTGCCCAATCTACTGAAGGTACTGCTTCTCAATCCGGTGCTCAATCTACTGGTGCTTCCGAATCTGGTCCAGCTGCCTCTGGTGCTCAATCTACTGGTGCTTCCGAATCCGGTCCAGCTGCCTCTGGTGCTGAATCCACTGGTGCTTCTGAATCCGGTGCCCAATCTACTGAAGGTACTGCTTCTCAATCCGGTGCTCAATCTACTGGTGCTTCCGAATCTGGTCCAGCTGCCTCTGGGTGCTGAATCCACTGGTGCTTCTGAATCCGGTGCCCAATCTACTGAAGGTACTGCTTCTCAATCCGGTGCTCAATCTACTGGTGCTTCCGAATCTGGTCCAGCTGCCTCTGGTGCTGAATCTACTGGTGCTTCTGAATCTGGTCCAGCTGCCTCTGGTGCTGAATCCACTGGTGCTTCTGAATCCGGTGCCCAATCTACTGAAGGTACTGCTTCCGAATCTGGTCCAGCTGCCTCTGGTGCTGAATCTACTGGTGCTTCTGAATCCGGTGCCCAATCTACTGAAGGTACTGCTTCTCAATCCGGTCCAGCTGCCTCTGGTGCTGAATCCACTGGTGCTTCTGAATCCGCTCCATCTACTGAAGGTACTGCTTCTGAATCCGGTGCTCAATCTACTGGTGCTTCCGAATCTGGTCCAGCTGCCTCTGGTGCTGAATCCACTGGTGCTTCTGAATCCGGTGCCCAATCTACTGAAGGTACTGCTTCTCAATCCGGTCCAGCTGCCTCTGGTGCTGAATCCACTGGTGCTTCTGAATCCGCTCCATCTACTGAAGGTACTGCTTCTGAATCCGGTGCCCAATCTACTGAAGGTACTGCTTCTCAATCCGGTCCAGCTGCCTCTGGTGCTGAATCCACTGGTGCTTCTGAATCCGCTCCATCTACTGAAGGTACTGCTTCTGAATCCGGTGCTCAATCTACTGGTGCTTCCGAATCTGGTCCAGCTGCCTCTGGTGCTGAATCCACTGGTGCTTCTGAATCCGGTGCTCAATCTACTGGTGCTTCCGAATCTGGTCCAGCTGCCTCTGGTGCTGAATCCACTGGTGCTTCTGAATCCGCTCCATCTACTGAAGGTACTGCTTCCGAATCTGGTCCAGCTGCC